TTTGGTGTGGCAGGTTTGGGGCGCCTGACTCAGTGCTGTGGCAACAGCCATCTCTTCACTCAATTACTCAAGTTAAATTCCAAGTAACTGCTCACTGAAGAAAACAAAAGCTAGCCTCCTCAAATCTCACTGTGGTTCTTGTTTGTTCGTTTGTTTGTTTGGTGTTTGTCAGCTTACAGACATACCTACCTACCCTATGAACAATCCTGTGCTCTTAAAGGATGATACCAAATACCACTTCAGATGGAAAACAAATTCAGTCTTTGGACAAAGAGATATATTAGAGATGTTGGACTTGTTTTGCATTTCCTAACAAGGGCACTTGGAGTAATTACAAAGATTCAGAACCAGAATGTTTCTAGATGTCCTTCAGAGTACACACAAGACTTCCAAAACAGACAAGAAAGGATTTAACCCATCGAATACAGTAATCTGATACATTTGTGGTGTAAGACTTATTTACATAATTTCATTCAATTTAATGTTGCTCTAAGGCTTCAGTTTTTTTAGTTTCATATCTGATTTGGGCATCTTATAGGACTCTCATAAGTCTTTCACAAATAATTACTAAACAAAAATGTATAGAAATGCTTTGTTAGCTTTCCTTTATTGCATGACTTCAATATCTGTAGCACCATTAAAGATGGAATTCAGAAGCAGATCCAGTGCGATGGGCCTGAAACTCCCGTTTCCACGGTGTCTTTCTGCAGCTCTCCCAACTGGCACAGTCTGTGCCCCCTATGAAAGCATTCACCAACTCAAGTGTTCCTTTCTAGACTTCCACTGTCTCTGGTCAAAAGCACCAGAAGACTACTGAGCAGGAAGAAATAAAAACCCAAACACATATAGACTAAACTCCAAGCAACCTGCTATGCTGAGATGTTGCCCCCCACTTTCCTGCTGTATCTAGGTCCCCTCTGCTTGCCTTCCGTTTTAACTTTATTATGATGTGCAAAAGAAAGGAAACATTCCCTCTCTAAACTATACTAAAGTGTACTAACTCTAAAACAAAATTTGTTAGTGAAATCCATAAAAATAGTACAGTGAAATTCATGGTCATACAGGGAAAAGGGAAAACACCAACCAGCAGATTCAGGTTTCAGATTTAACTTGCACCAGAGTGAGACCTGCAGAGTGTCACTTGGCAGAGCTGGCACATTGCCCAGCTCTCCATCATGCCTGCATACATTTGGTGGCTTACTTGCTTGCTTGCAATAGGGCTGCACTATATAAATCAGGCTGGTCTCAAACTCATAATCTTTGTGCCTACTCTCTTGGCAGATTCTACCATAGCCAGCTTCACACACGCTTTCTACGCTCTACATTTTACATATGCAGTATCTGGGGCTTGAGATCTTGACCTAAATTGTCAAACACTATACAGTCCGACTTCTTTAGTACAGAAGCAAACAGACATCGATTCATCATAATAGCCAGTCATATATTCATAAACATTTTAACTTTAAAACCCTATGGTTGCTTCTACCTTGAATACCCGAGGTTGTAAAATACATAAACAGAGTGGAGAATGACAGGACTTTATAATGACAAGACCTTAAAATTTTATTATTGTTCATGTATAAAAATTATAAATAAATAAATAAAACAGATGTTATTGGCTTAAAACATTCATACCTTAGATATCAGATTTTAATAAATTAATTATATCAGACACATATTTTCAGATAGCTAGAATGCATTCCTCCAACAGAATTTTATGTTTTACAACTCAGTGAATGCCATAGCAAAGTTGGATTAAAAATAATAAAGAATAGGACTTCATTTTTTCAGAGTGTCTCAAATTCTTGATCCTCAAACTCCAGACCCCAGGCCTCACTGGTGTGTACACCATCTGGGTAAGAGTAATAATCTTTTTGGTTTTACAAGACAGGGTTTCTCTGTATTGTTTTAGAGGCTGTCGGTCCAGTCTGGCCTCGAACTCACAGAGATCTGCCTGCCTCTGCCTCCCGAGTGCTGGGATTAAAGGCATGTGCCACCAATGCCCGGCTCAAGAGTAATAATCTTTTACTGGCAGAGGTGCCTTGAAAGACTTTCCAGGCTTTTTCTCCATTCAACCTTGTTCAGCTTATAGAAACCTGGCTTTGAAGGTCTCAGCTCAGAGTCACACAGATCTGTCTGAAAGCAAGCAATGCATTCCAGGTATTTCTGTGTACCTCTCAGGTACACAGACACATAGTTAACCACTTGCCCCTTGCCCTGTAAGCAGGCAAAGCATGCTGGGTATTGGAATAGCATATCAAGGCTGCTGGATTATTCAGAAGGCAAAAATAACAAGATAAATTTAAACTGCATATAAGAAATTTATAATGCATGTGTGTTCCATGTGATATTTGAACACACTTAATACCCCGAACTATTCATGATTTAGGAATTAACCAACAGGGCATCTAATGTTCTACTTGGCAATTCTACTCTCCACTGGAAAACTGGCTGCCATGCATACAGACACCTTTCACCAGATGTGAGCTGTGGAGCCTGGAGGTCCCAGAGATTGGACATGCTCCTTCACTCTCCCATTTTAAGCTTTGTCTAAATAAAATCTATTTTGCATCTGCACAGTATGGTGTTAGCATTACTCATCCATGATTCACTTGAAAGCATGGAAAAATAATTTATCTATAATTCCTACCATATTCATATACTATAACCAAAGGTAGAGTGAATTGAGTAGGAAATATTGAGTAGGACATAGATTTAAGTTTTCCCTACCAATCATCTGCCTTTGAGAAAGAATAGTATCTCTGTAGGCCTTGTATGGCTTGACTTTCAGAGCCTTTACAGTTCCAACATCTTAGATTTCCAGAAACCTATGTAAACTAAAACATGTTACCTTTTTCATGGCTAACCCAAGGTCGTGTTTACATATTTGAGAAGCAATGCTTATACATCAAGTATAAGAACCCTGAAATATTGTCCAAAAGATGGTCTTCACATTTTCAAGACTCACTGACGTGCAGAGGCAAGCTGATATCAATCTTAGCTCATCATCTTCCTCCCTCAAACTTCCAGGTAGTGTTGAAAATGCCCCACCATGCCTGTATTAATATGATCATTATATTTAAATAAAGTTTATCTATTTATAAATATACCTGCAGGCTAGTAACATACCTAAGATAATTTCACAAACTGTAAGCTATACATTAAAATATTTTGCTGTTTTGCTGACATACAAATTTTAAAAATTTGTATTTTTATACACACATGCACAAATGTGTGTGTGTGAGTGTGTGTGTGTGTGTGTGCATGTGTACCCACATGGACACATGTATGCAGGTATGTGTATAGGCCAGAAAAAGGTTTCAGATTACTTGGAGCTGGCATTACAGGTGGTTATTCCCTGCCCAACTTGGATGTTGGAAACCCAACTCAAGTCCCATGAAAGAACAAGCTTCTTTAATCCCTGAGCCATCTCTATATCTTCTACATAATTTTAAACATCTGTGATTACCTGGAAAGCCAGTAATGAATCACATTTATTCCAAACCATTCCAAAAGCAAGTGTCAGACTTGCTAAACCATCTCTATGAGAACTCACATAACATAAAGCAATCACTAGTCTGATGACCTTTGGTCTAGGCCTGTATAAGTCTACACAGGTCTATGTATGCGCAGAATGTAATTCCAACTTCTCTATGCAACTCTGTTGGAAACCCCATTCATTTGCACAGAGGTGGTCAGGAGCAGAGCACCTTGCCTTCCATTAACTAACCTGTTGCTATCAGCATTGTCACAAACATCTGTCTCTAGCTGAGAGCTGTGCCTCATCACAATCTAAACGCCAGGCACTTGTTCTAAGAACTTAAATAACATACAAGGGAGAAAGCACTTCATCACCAATGTTATGAAAATGACATAAAGTTAAGCCTTTTCTCATTTGCTACAGGATTTCCCATAAAATAGAGGACATTAGTTAAATGTGATGCTTAAATTTCAATTTAGAATATAATTACAAACTAGATCTGGCAATCCTATGAGGGCTACCTAATGGTATTTGCCAGCTTGAATATTTCCTTTTGAATTTTGTTTTTTTGTTAATTTTTTGCGTGTTTTATATATGTACACTATATTTCCATAATTTTACCCCTCCCTTTCTCCTCTCCAGGTTCTCATATGGCCCCTACTCCCTCTCAAATGCACGGCTGCTTCTTTAATTATTGGTACATATGCATATGTATACACACACACATCTACCGAGAACACATCCTACTGAGGCCATCAGTGTTGTTTGTATGCATGTATGGTTAGGACCGACTGTTTATGATTGGGTAAGCTATCAGGGAGTTCTTCCCTTGAGAAAACTGACTTTCCCTTTCTCAGCAGCCAGCGTCGCTCCTCATCCACGGGTGGGGCCTTGGGCAATTCCACGGTGCCCACTGCTACATCAACTACTGTTATCATTATGCAAGGCCTCCTTTAGGTGAGCACAGTACTGAAGTTTCATGGATACAACTTTCCTGCCATGTCTAGAAGACACTATCTATCAGTAGGTCCCCTGGTGCTCTGGCTGGTGGAATCTTCCTTCCCCTCTTCCAGGAGTTTTCCTGAGCCTTAGGTATAGGGATTGCATCACCGATGCGTGCGTGTGTGCATGTGTGCATGTGTGGGAGGGTATGCATGTTCTCTGAGCACACCATACATGTGGAGGACTGAGAGGACAGTGTATCAGTCCTTTCCTTTCACCTTGCACGAGACGCTGTTGTCACTGTGTGTACCAGGTCAGCTGGCACAAATATTTGGAGATAATCCTGTCTCCTGTCTCCACCTCCCATTTCTCATTAAGAGAATTATGTTTACAAACTGATCCTATTTATACGCAGGTTCTTGGGATTCAAACTCAGCTTCTCATCTTACATGCAAAACCTTCACCAACTGAACTTTCTCCCTAGCCTCTACCATCAATCTCTCTACCATCCACATCCATTTGTTCTATCAAAATCACATAAAAACACGCATTCTATAAATGTGAACACCTTGCATACCTGTGAGTGGTTTATGAGGAGTCCACTTAATAAAACATTGCTCTTTTTCACTTCCTTTGCCAAGTCCCTAATCCACACCAGGCTTTCCATCTTCTGAGTGAGTGGCACTAAGGTGAAGTCGAGGAAACACACCTGTGGGACACAAGCAGATCATTGTTCTCTTTAGCCTTCCTTTCGGAGGAAAGCAAAACACAATTGCAATATTCCATTAACTTTGTAACTTCAGGTCAATCATTTCCAATGGCTTTTAGGCAATAAATAACTAACAAATAAATGACTCCTCCTTTTTAAATATGAAATCAATGCTCATTAAGAATACATTGAAAATATAAAATTCTACCATTATGTTGCAAATAATACTGGCTTTACAAGAACATGATTCCACTAATTAAGTTTAACTAATGATGTATAACAAGGTTCATTATTTCTTAGCCTATAAAAAGCTAACAAAATTAAGGGAATAAACATTGGAAAGTATTTTAGAATATCTGACATCTCTAGTAAATAATCATCTATGTCTATAATAAACCCCAAGCAATTTTTATGGAACATTGCATTTAGTAATGTCAGTATTCTGGAAAATATGGCATTATAGTAGGGAAGGACTCAGTTTTCAAAATGGGGCTGGCCATTTTGAACTTGGGAGGGTGGACCTGGGAGGAATGGAAAGTGTGATTGGAATTCAATGTGTGAAATTCACAAATAATCAATTAAAATATTATGTTGGAGGAAAATAAGTAAAAAAAACAATTTAATTGAAATGCAAAGGATCTCAGAGGGAGCCTTCCTTAATTCTACAAATTATTACAGTCTTTTCCAACATAATTTTGCATTTAGTTTTTTGAGACATAGATTCTGTATGTAGTCCTGGCTATCCTAGAACTCATTCTGTAGACCAGTCTTGCCTTGAAATCACAGAGACCTGCCTGCTGTTGGCTTCTGAGTGCTGGGATTTACTGGGTGCACCACTACTGCCTGGCCCAAGATAATTTATTAAGAGAAAGCATAACACAATACTCTTACAGGAAACAGCCTAAATCAATAGTTCTCAACAAGAGGTTCACAACTCCCTTTGAGTCAAATAACCTTTTCACAGGGGTTGCCTAAGACCACTTGAAAAGACAGACATTCACACTATGATTCCTAATAGTAGCAAAATTACAGTTATGAAGTCGCAGTGAAATAATTTTATGGTTGGGGGTCATCACAACGTGAGAAACTGCATTAAAAGGTTGCAACATCAGGAAGGTTGAGTACCATTAGCCTAAATGATGCAAAGAAAACGAATAAATGGGTGCCTTCTTTTAAAGAACCTAATTTAAATGCTTTTTTTTCAGAATTAGAAATTTCCCTATGGCATACGCTTACTAACCAGAAACAATTTAATGTATACCATACCCTCATGCTCCTCTATGGAAACTACCCTTCTGTCCTGCTCTCCCACAAGGAAATATATTTCATAGCACACATATATCTTATTAAGTTCCTTCTGTAGCATACAGGAGTGAATTTTTCCACCCTAACACTGCATTTTACTTTTCCAGAGAAAAGTATTTACATGAAACTCCGCATTATTTCTTTCACTGCTGGATATTACGCCTAGGGCCTCACACATAATAAGCATGTATACAATTATTGAGCTATGCCCCAACTCCTATAATGCCCATTTTGAAGACACTGATACAATAATTTTTAAATAGATATTAGTTCAATAGTTATCCAAAAACAATGTTTGAGAACTTTTCATTAAACATAGTTAATTGAAAAGTATATACATGCAGCTTTTCTTTTAAAAATGCCATAAACACAGTTATATGCCAAAGAAATAATTTTAACATGACATTCCACAAAGAAACTAAAAGAAAAACATCAAGAAAAGCAAGTATATTTCAAGGAAATTAAAAACAGAAAGACTTTTCAATGGCCTAACCAGCTGACAGTCTGGGATGAGGAGATGCGGTCTTGGAATCTTGGACTCCCTTTTTCCTACCTCTGCTTCCAGAAAAGTCAGAAATGGATAGCTTCAGCTGTCTTATCTCTTTTTTTTTTTTTTTTTTTTTTTTTTTTTTGGATTTTACGAGACAGGGTTTCTCTGTATTGTTTTGGAGGCTATCGGTCCAGCCCGGCCTCGAACTCCCAGAGATCCGCCTGCCTCTGCCTCCCGAGTGCTGGGATTAAAGGCGTGTGCCACCACCGCCTGGCCTCAGCTGTCTTATCTCTTGTCTAGTGAACTGCAGCAGGACCGGAACTGTGAATGCACTATAAATGCCAGACTTTCCACCAATGCAGTTTGGCTTGTAAATTGGTGTTTGGAACCCAGGCCCTCAATGCCCACTATAGCAATAGATGTTGGTTCCCATTTGAAGTCCTATAAAGGATGGCTCACCAACCAAGTTAAACTTGATGAATTGAAGAGACTTGCTTATATCATTTATCAAACTTCATCTTCAGAGTCTCCTTCTTATGGATTTGCAATATTTAGGTGAACCAGAATTGCTGGTGATAGGCCGGAGAACAAAAAGCAAGCTAACTTACCAAAAATCTACACAACTGCATAAGCTGTACTCACGGACAGGACTTAAAGTCAGGGTTCGATTAGCAGGTATAAAATCCTCTCCTTAGTAATGACAACAGAGACTGTACACCTTAGTAGTAAGCCACCTAGTCTTAAAGACCACTTCTGTATGATGCTTCAAAATTGTCTTACCTTCTAAATATGCAGAAGTACCAGTACCACATAAATGTCATAAAATGCTGCTGGCTTGCTGTGGACCTGCCAAGCCCAGGTTCAAGTCCTGAGACGAGGAAACGCATAGGCACAAAGAAATGAAGTAGTGTCCGACCACCAGACGAGTTTCAGACAAGTGGCTGGCCCCAAATAACTTGAGTCATCGTTATTTATACTTCAAAAACAAGCATGTTTTTCCCGCCCTGCAGCATTAACTTCTGGTAAAAACAAATATGTCAAATTTGTTTTTCCCCAACTTTACATCAAAACAACGTTTAAACCAAAAACAATATTCAGCATTCTGCTAGCTTGGCCAGATACTGAGGCAGGCTCATCCAGTCCTCACAAAGTTAAAAAGTGATAAACATAGGCACACGTTTTCAACAGCCACAATGCCACTCAAAACTTAACACAGCGTATTTACAGAAATGGGAGAGGGGTCGGCAATAAGCTGCCTGTACACAGCTAGCTCACATTCCTCAACTGCATATTAACTTTTATGGCCTCTGACCCTGTCACCATTGAATCAGAACTGTCCCTAGCATCCGGAGCGACAGCTGCTATTTCCAGATAAGAAACATAAGATGCATTAGCTCCCAAAGCATTTTAGGGGAAAATACTTGAGAAAAATGGGGTTTCCCAAAATGGTCACATGTCCCATGCATGAATGACAAAAATGATACTAAAACCTCCAAGAGAATCATCAATATTACAAGAGAGAAGAGAGTGCCCAGGCCACGCGGTCCCAGCAGTGCCCGCTGAAGTCCATTGAGGCTTGATGAGTGAGAGACTGCCTCCAATGAGCTTTTCCTCAGGGAGACCTGCTGGACAAGTACTCATATGCTGTTATGAAACTAGGCTACTGCCAACATCCGCTAACATGAAACCCATAATGTATGTGTCTGGAGTGCTTTGCTTTGGGAGTGAGGGACCTGGCCAATGTGACTGCTCACCCATTTACATATATGAAGAGTAATTTTTTTGTTCAGTATAAATTTTACCAAATGCTTTTTGAGGTTTTTAAAACTCTTATTTAAAGGGGGATGGTATTCATGGGGGAAATTTCTCAAATAGTGACCACACAAAAGCGCTTTAATTCAAATTACAGCTCCCAAAGATATTTAAAATGCAGAAAGGAGAAAGAATGGGAATTCTGATAGCCTTACTACAGAAAGGATGATGGTCACTCTGCAAACAGAGCTCTGTGTAGAAAAGCTACCAGGAACTCTGCACAGCAGGAAATGCGCCTGCCAGGGGCTAAGTCTGATCTGGCAGGAGTGGCACATTTCTAGTTTCCCTGGAAGCTGAGGGCATTCTTCCCTTTCCTTTTAAGGTTGTAATTCCCTATTTTCCCTGGAAAACTCATCTATGAGCTAATGTAACTTCCAGACTGGCTAATACCAACCCACACTTGCCTACACAGAGATAAGAATTGTTCTTACAAAACACACATTTCAGCAAAAACACTATGGTTGAGATCAAGAATGTGGTACAGTTGTTTCCTGAGTTGCTATCAGTTGGTGAGATGTGTCACCTGCATAGGAGACTTCTGTTCCAACTATAGGTCTGGAAAATGAAGCATGCCCAAGGGCTAAGATATTACATAACAAAACATAGGTGAAAGGTTCAGGTCCCAACCTTGAATATTTACTGCACGCTGAGCTTGTGCTGCCGATACGATAAACTTTTTAAAAGACACAGATACATATCATCACGTTAACACATTTTAACCAGGAAAAGTAGGCTGCGTCCCAATACTCTCATTTACCAGATGCAAACACCTGATGGTATTTTAAAGATGAGGACAATCTCTGATAGATGTTCTCATTAATAATATAATCTACTAAAACATTTTTGTGTTTATTTACTTGCACATCATAGTACATGTGCGGAGTCTTACAACACCTTGCAAGAGTTGGATCTCTCTGTTCATCACATGAGCTCCAGGGATCCAATTCATAAGGTTGGACTTGCAAGCAAGAACCTTTACTCACTGAATCATCTTTTGGGCATTAATATCTTGATCTTAAAATCACATTATATTTTACATAGGACTATTATATTAGACCTATTTATTTTTTGTTTGCATGTTTCCTTTTTGAAGACAGGGAATCACTATGAGGCCCTCACTGGCCTGAAACTCCCTATATAGACCAAGCTGGCCTTGAATGCAAAGAGATTCAACTGCCTCTCCCTCCCAAGTACTAGGATTAAAGATGTACATACTATTCCTGGCTAACTTCGAACTTCAAGAAAATTCAGTCACTTACACAATTCCAGTGGAAATGTTTAGTTGCTACAAAATCACAAGTGAGTTTAATTGCTAAAAGCCAAATAGGACTACACACAACCATAGTAGAGAGTAGCAAAATAATCATGACAACTCTGGAAAGATGTAAATGTT